CACACAGCATCCAGGATAGACAGACGCAAGCCTTAACTGACATGTCTCTTCCATTCCAATGCTGTTTCATGACATTTGCAATGAAAACTTCTTTGAGGCCGGGAAGGCAAAGGAGAAGGATACATTCAGAAATTTAGAATGCTTTTGAATTTCATTCGTGATAAGAAGTAAAGAATGATCTCATTCATGGTCTGGTAACATGAGTGTGAATCAGAGTAGTTATTTGTTGAGAAAGTAGAATTCACATAGAAAGCTCTGAGATTATGAGACACAAAGTCAAGGAAATGTAGATAGAAAACATGAAAAAGGTAGTTTTGGTCAACAGTGTTTAGGAAGCTTTGAATTCATTCCATTCATTCATTGTTTCCATTCAGAAAGAAGTGATCATTTGCTTAGTGGGCCCAAGAGCTCAATCAGAGATGTGTGCATGTGGGTTGAGGGGCAGATAGGATATGTGATGGTTGACCCTGCCAACTGGATAGGATTTACATTAAACTTAACATAGATGTCTTGTCTTTTCAGTGTGGTGTAATGATCCACCCTGAATGTGAGTGGCACCATCCAATGGACTGGGGTCCTGGACTGAATAGAAAGGCAGAAGCAAGTGAAGCACAAGAGTTCATTGCTCTTTGCTCTGACTACAGAGGCAATATGACTCATCATTTTACATTTCTGATGGTGTGCTGTGCTTTCCCTGACATGTGTGACTCTATGCTTTCTAAAACCGTGAAGAAGAGGAAACCGATCTTTCCTTAAGTTCCTTTGCCAGACATTTTGTAACAGCAATAAACAAAGTAATTTATGAAAGGTAGGTCAAGCCTTGGATAAAATGTCCCCACAGGTTCCTGTGTTGAAGACTTCACAATAGATGGGGGCTCTTGGTCATGAGAATGCTATTTTCATCATGGACTGACCCATGTCTTTGAAGGGGATGTTTTCTTTCTCTCTATTTTGACAAAGAAGCCAAAAGTGCACAATGGAAAAAAGAAAGCATCTTCAACAAATGGTGCTGGCATAACTGGATATCAACACGTAGAAGGCTACAAATAGATCCATATCTATCACTGTGCACAAAACTTAAGTTCAAGTGGATCAAGGACCTCAACATAAATCCAGCTACTCTGAATCTGCTAGAAGAGAAAGTAGGAAGTAGTCTTGAACGCATTGGCATAGGAGACCACTTCCTAAATAGAACAGCAGTAGCACAGACAGTGAGAGAAACAATCAATCAATGGGACCTCTTGAAACTGAGAAGCTTTTGTAGAGCAAAGGATACGGTCAATAAGGCAAAGCGACAGCCTACAGAATGAGAAAAGATCTTCACCAACCCCACATCTGACAGAGGACTGATATCCAGAATATATAAGGAACTCAAGAAATTAGACATCTTTCTCTCTATCTAACTTCCTTCCTCTTCCCTCCTTCCCTTTCCTCTCCTGCCTGCCATGAACTAAGCTGCTTTGCAGCACTCTGTGTTCCCACTGCCTTGTGCACTGTTTCACCTGAGGCCCAAAGCAATGGAGACTATGAATTGAAACATGGGAGGCAGCAAGCCTAAATTAAGCCTACCTGCTTTAAGTCGTTTCCTTCAGATATCTGGTAATAGCAGAGAACTGTCTCTAACACATTGTGATGGTTAACGGTATAAATTTAACAGGAGGTAGAATCTCTAAGAAGCTCAACCTCTGAGCTGGTCTGTGAAGGGATTTCTAGATTGGAGTTATTACATTGGAAAGGGCCACCTTAAATTCTGGCGACATCCTTCCACGAGCCTGGATCCCAGTTGAGTAAAAGACAAAGGGAAGTGCTGAATGCCAGCAGTCACCATTTTTTTTTTCTCTTACTGAATACAGTGTGACCAGCTGCCTCATGCTACTGCTACCAGGCCTTCCACACCATGATGGACTCTACCTGAAACTCTGAACCCAAATAAAATGAGCTTGTCTGACGTCCTCCCTCCTCCCTCCTCTCTTCCTACTTCTTCTTTTTCCTTTCTTAAATTGTAGCCTGTTGTGTCATAGCAATGAGAATACATACACAAGGAAATAAAACATTTACTAAAGTAATTCAGGAACCATTTCCAAAGCCACCAGCTAAACACAAATCATTAAAGCATTGTGTGTGATGGACGTTGTTGTTAATCTTGGCAGTAAAGAACCTTAGTTTCCATTTGTCCACTGTTCAATCTTGTGCTAACAGAAGTAACTGACAATTGTAGACTTTGTTTAACCCATTTATAAACGAGTAAGGAATGAGCAAATTTTGTCACTTGTTCCTAAAAGGTGTGACTCAAAGTGTTGAAGTGGTTTAAGATACTGTAATGACTATTTAAGATACTATTGACTATTTTCTTCCTCCACCCTATGAGTACTGCTGTGGGATGTCATTCTGTATGCTGTGAATATGTGTTGCTCTGATTGGTTTATAAATAAAGCTGCATTGGCCTATGGCTGGGCAGGATGGAGCAGGTGGGAAAATTCAGGAGAGAGAGTGAGAGAAGGGAGAGTAGGGGGGAGATGCGAGACTGCCACCCAAGGAGCAACATGTAATGGGACACAGGTAAATCTACAGAACATGTGGTGAATCATAGATTAATAAAAATGATGAAATTTAATTAATTAATTTAATTAGTTAATTTAAGATGAAAGAGGTAGCTAGCAAGAAGCTTGTAATAGACCATGCAGTTGGTAATTCATATGAGCCTCTGAATGATTATTTTATAAGCAGCTATGGGACTGCTCGGTGGGCAGGACTGGAGAAACTTCTTCTACAATATACCAAAAGCAGTTGTGGGAATGAACAGCCATGGGCATTTGTGCCCAACACAACTTCAGGTTCCTTGTTTCTGTCACCACCTTATCAAATGGGCAGAGAGCTGGTATTGGATGCCTTTTCTGCATGCTTTTAGTTCTCAACCCTGTTTATCTAGAAAGGCAATCAGCACAGACTAGTTGTTCAACTGCAGACTTTTGTATTTGGAAAACCTGCTTGGGCCACCTTTGTGGGTAGTGGAGAAAGGGTGTTCTTTTGGTGGTTTTAATCTGTGAATTTGGATGTGCAGCGTTATTATGAGAATTGTCAGACACATGCACACTTGGCACAGACCACATATTTGAATACCAATGATTTATGAGATGAACCATAAACAGCTATATTAACCAAGAGTTACTGAAACTCTTCCATAAACAGCACGTTGTATCCCAATAGGAGCCCCAGGTTTCTCCCCTTCCCTGATTTTCTCTTCTGCCATTGCATATATAGCAGCAATGATCTGGTGAGGAGTTGCCAACATGTGGGGGAAAAAAAAGGAGGAAGGGGTTGTTGTTAAAGATTTTTCTGATATGAGTTTTACTAAAGGGTTGGTATGATTGGATGCAATGATTAGGCTGAACTCTTAAAGGTAACATTTAAACCTATTTTTGAAAAAAATAACAAATACATATTGATATATTCATAATATATTGCAAAATTGCTATGAGTCTGGTCTTCAATGTCCTCCCAGGGCCTGTTTGTTAGAGGGTACTCTGCAGGGAAGTGCTATTGAGAGGAGATGAAGCATGTAAGATGTAGAGTGTACTGGTAGGTCTTTAGGTCACTGAGGCTAACCTGTTCTTCCTTCTGTTTTTGCTTTCTGGTTATTAGGTAAATGTCTTCTTATGCCCTGTGTCCTGGTATGGCCCCGAAGGGGGAAGAACTAGTAGGAGGTATGGCCTTGTTAGAGGAAGTGTGCCACTGTGTGGGTGGGCTTTGAGTTCTCTTTTTCTCAAGCTTCCCTCAGTGTGACAGTCAGTCGACTTCCTGTTGCCTCTGAGTCAAGATGTAACACTCTCAGCTCCAGCACCACATCTGCCTGCATGCTGCCATGTTCCCCATCCTGATGATGATGGACTGAACTTCTGAACTGTAAGCGAGACACCTCAATTAAATGTTTTTATTTATAAGAGTTGCCATGGCCATGGTGTCTCTTCACAGCAATAAAAAACCCTAACTAAGACATCTTGCCACAGTGCACTGCATTCCCACAAACCTGAAATTAATGAGCCCTTATAGATCATGGACTGGAATGTGCAAAATTGTGAACCCAAATAAAAAATTTCACTTTCTATGTTGATTATCTCAGGAATTTGTTACAATTATAGAACGCTGATTAATACCATGATGGTGGTTAAGATAAGAAAAAAGATACTGGTGGAACTTATATAGAGGTGTTTGGTGCATTCTAGCTCACTCCAAACTAGACTTCTTAGCACAGACATACAAGTTTTACCTGGAGGAACTCTAGAGATTTGCTTGTCTGCAGCTATTTATTGGTTACTTAGTTTTTACCTGGTAATATTTCACGCATAGAGAAGAAATTGGTTTTCTTTCCCGACACGACAGAAACTCTAACTCTCTGTTAGATGCAAAAACATAAGCGTGGAATTTATTCCTCTGGTACTCAATATTTCCTTTAAAATATTCAAAGAGCAGATGGGTTATAGATGTTGAAAAATAAGTTAATTTTTTATTAGTTCTCCTGTTACTTTCTATCTTTCTCTGTGGTCGTTTCCTTCTTGATTGATTCAGCGTGATCACAGTATTCTCCCTGGAAGGTTCACAACTCATCATTCTTTTCCCACCACCATGTCAAAACTTGACCACACACTTCCTGAGTGATATAACCATGCCTGCTAGATTCTTTATCGTCTAGTCTCCAACTTTGAAATATCATTCCATGTCAGTTCTCTTAGGATCGAAAGCAGGAATTGGGGAAGGCAATGTTTAAAACGGTTTCGGTACTATATGCCACTACAAAATGATAAACCCCAAATTCTCTCCTTACAGTGTACCAAAAGCAAGTAAGGACTCAACAGCATAGGTGTACCTGTTAAAGTTCTGTGCCCAGCGTAGTTTCATGTTCCTTGTTTTGTTTCCACCGTATTTAGTGGGATGAAAACAAGTACTGGATTTCTTTTCTGCATGCTTTTAGTTCTCAACCCTGTTTTTCTAAGAAGGTGATCAGCACAGACCAGTTGCTCAGTTGCAGACTTTTATATTTGGAACATTCGCTTGAGTCATCTTTGTGGGTAGTGGAGAAGGAGTGTTCTTTCGATGGCTTTAATCTGTGCGTTTGGCTGTGCAGCACTATTATTAGACTTGTCAGAGGATTAGACGAAATAAGCGTTTTCCAACAGGGCTGCAGTGAGTGATGATGATTTTGAAGCGTGTTCAAGTCACACAGCGGGTAAGTGTGAGGTCTGGTGCCGGTGCCCAGGACTTTGATGACAATGTTTGCTGAATCATTCCATGACCTCATCATATAAGCTACCCATGATTCTCTTTGTCTGTCCTTTCGTTATTGTTTATTCTTACTGCTGGCATAGAACTTGTGATATAGCGTTACTTTTTGTGTGGCTCAAAATGAGATCTAGTACATAATACTTACTGAAAAGATAGTTTTTAGTTGAATATTTAAATGTGAATATGTGTGTCAACTTATTCCAAGGAGCTGTGTGCTCCTTAATTAATAGGCAAGAGTGATTTAGGTTATGTCCCTTAGTACTCTGATAGTAGCAATGTATCTCTGTCGTAATGGAACTAGAACCTTCCCAAACATAGTTGAGTGCTGTTTGTCTGTTGTTCACATCATCAACCTTGAGTCATATTTTGTCTTTTATTTATAGGTCCTTTCTATTTCTCTTCCTTTCCCTACCTTCAATTTCTTTATTTTATTTTTTGTTTCAATTTCATATGAATGACTTCCATGTCATTCCTTTGCAGGGCCTCTTCTTTTTGCTTACCTTCTTTAAAAGCAACATCTATAGATAAATCTCACCGTGATAAATACATTTGGCACAAAAGGACAGAAGATTAACATTATACTAGATAGCACCCATTTTGTGTATGTGTCACGTTCTTTAGGAGAATTAGTAATGACCTAAAACCCTGTGCTGAGCCCTTGAGGAACACGATTGACCCCTTAGTGTCTTTAAGTATTTAATTCCTGACTAAGACGGCAACATTCACAGGAAATGGTTAGCCCACCAGATGTTATTCTTTAGCGATTCTGCATTAATGCCAACGAGGAAGACACCAAATCATTCCCAAATCAGATTATTGTCTCACCTATTCTGTATGAAGAGTCCCTGTGGATTGCTGTGGCTATTTTTTAGCTAGAAAGATTACATCTGATTATATCTCGTGTCCAACCATTATTTTATTGTGATGAGAAGAGTTTGAATTTTTTTACATAAACATTTCTGCTTTCACTATGTTTCAAATGCATACAGTGCTATGAAGTTATGGCTCTCAAGCTTAGGGCAGATTTGAAAAGTTAAAAATGGTGTAAGGGAGCCAGGTGGAATGACATTTGTCTACAAAACCAGCACTTAGATGGCTGAAGTAGGAGCCTCCAACAACGTGAGACTAGCTTGGTCTACAAAGTGAGTTCCAGGGCGGTCCAGGCTATCTCGAAAAATGATGTCTCAGAAAGATTTTCCTTTATTCACGTAAGGGCTACACTCCTTTCTGCTTATCTACTCACTCCTTATTTCTAAAAAACAGAAATGATTTTTCTCTCTATTCTCTCTCCGAGGGCCTTAGTTTATCTCCCTGGAGGTTATTTTTTTTATTATGTGTTGTTTTTAAAATTATGAATCCATATAGACATCTGTCTCACTTATCAGTTCTTTACCTGATTTCTTGCACACGCTTTTTCTTCACTCTGCTCCCTTAAACATGAAAAGTATTCTGTCAATCTTAACTGACCTCTTCTCATTAGAAGGTCCTGGCTTCTACATCTCTACCCTTAAGTGATGAACTCCATTTCATAGCTGTATCAGTTGAGGGGCTTTGTGGAAAAATCTTTGCTGTAGGGATCTTCTAGGAAGAAAGTGCATAGAGGCAGCACAGCAATTCTAAAAATAGCAAGCCTCATAATTTTACATAATTGTCACTGCGATGGCTTATGTATCACCTCAGATCCTAACTGGAATTGACTTCTCCTTCTTCCTGTCTTCTCTAATCCATCACATTAGACAGCACTGGAGTGATTATATCATTCCCTTACTGAATTCTAATAGTAGACTCATTTTTGGAAGACATGGGTTTTCATGATCTGTAAATACACATCAAGATTCTAACTACTGACAAGATAAATCCTATGCAATTAATGATCCTTTAAAGCCACGAATTCCCTTACCCATTTTCAAGTCTCTTGGAAGTATTTATTTTAACAGAACTGTGTTTTGATGGAACTATAAAATAATTCATCTGGAAAGGACCTCGGATATCATTTAGTCTCAGCTTCCCAACTTACTAATTAAAAAGTCCAAGTGGAAAATATATTCACACATATATGATTATATCCACATATGCACACATATGTACACATCATATATATGTAATATATACTATGTATATATGTATAACACACATATGAATATATGTATACACTATACATATACATATACATATATATATATATGGTATATGTGTTTATATTCATCATCTAGTGTCTTAGACCTTGGTGGTTGTTAATGCCATACAATAAAATCATCTAAAAAGTGTTTAAACATGTTTGTATCTGAACCTCACCACTCTGGACTTGATTTAGTTGGTCAAGGAGGTGTGTTAGAGTGAAAAGAAAACCTCATTACATATCCCTGATATACAATTTTAGTAAGAAATAATGCTATTACTTCAGAATTCAGGACTGAGATATACAGGGAGCTAGCTTACCTGATGCCTCTAAGCCACATTTGACTCACTAAGGTGAGTTGATATGATCCCCACTTTGCATATGTATAGTGGTAGTTGAATAAAATCATTAATATAGATGGTCTGCCTCCTTGGCAGGACCACCTCCCTTCTAGGCCATAGCACTTTCATGTTCATTTGTCTGTTCTTTCTGTTCTTTTCTACCTTGACCTCATCTCCATTTTGCTTCTTTTCACTCCGTGGCTTCATGTCTCCTGTTTTCAGATCTGTGGAGGACATCTGTGACAGGGGTTCCCAGCTGTGTATGCCATAATCTCACCTGAGTTTTCTTAATACTATCATCATGATTTCATGTCCAGAGTTGCTTTCTTTTGATTTCAGCAACCAGAGAAGTGTTTGCATATTTTGTCATGGCCAGTATTGTCTCAGAAGTCACATGCTTAAAGTGGTACACCCGCATCCTCTCTCATTCCTAACCTTCCTGGCACAGAGTAGGCACTTTTGATCCACGCTCTTACTACTCTGAGAACCCACTATTACTGTCCTTTCTATCATTTCTGGTTTGTTAATTCACATTTCTCATCACAATATATGCTGTCCAAAGACACAGCTATGTAGATTCTGCCCCTCCTCATAATATCCCTCCCTAGCTTCTTTCTGATCCACAAACAGAGGAGTCCCCATTACTGTTAATCTGATTAGTATTCTCCATGGCCAATAGGAAACTGATGTATGGGAGACACTATGGCTTCAGCTTTGTTTTGTTTCTTCTAGAAAATAGCTGCTTCCAGTCAGAGTCACTAAGGAGTTTCCAGGCTTCATCTGGAACTGGGCATTTCTGAGAGAATGTCTGCCCTGTGCACCGGGCAACAGTTTCCTGCTACCTAAGGCACTATGTGTCATGTTTACCCCATCACTAAGGAGACCTTGATGAGACACATAGCTTTTGTTATATCACTAAACAGAAGTTCAAATGCTGTGGAGTTCAGCTAGGTAACTTTTAAAGGGATTCTAGGGTTAGCTTTTTGTTTCTAGAGGAAAGCAGATTGGTGTACTAATCTACATGGAAAATAGACAGGTAATACTGTAATTTGATGAATCTTAAAATAAAACTGACTCTGGAGAAAAATTACAAGTGGGTAAAAATAATTTCAATTAATGACAAGGGAAGTGATTAGAGAACAGTTCCTTTGGGATTCCCAGAAGGATGTTGGATATTAATACGATGTTGTCCTATTAGTATTCTCTGGAGCACTGAAATGTTTGCCTCATTAGATTGGAGCTGGAGCTCTACCTGTTTACTTTAACAAATATTTGTCAGCTTAATAATATTCCTCAGTCACGTGTTGGTGAACTGAGAATAAACATTGTTTCTCAGCATTAGGAAGGTAATGAATTTGCTTTTACCCTAGTGAAAGATTGGGAGAGGATACACTTAGATTGTCTGCAAAACCATTTCCTTGTGAAAATATCCATCCAATAGAAGCCAGAGAACAGCTGGGGCTCTTCCTGCCTGTAGTCTGCCAGGGTTTCATTAGGTTTCAACTAATCTATCTTTTCCCATTAGTGCCTTTAAGATGTGTAAAATTGCTTTGAAGATATTCATTCAGTGGAATCCAGGCTCCTCAAAAGATGTGACTGGAAAATCAGGATCTCTTGCAAAATCACAAGATATATTTTTAGTATGAGGTAGTGGGGGTTGACTAGGTCCTACTGTAGTGATAAATGTCATGCATGTATACAAAAGAAGGGTTATTGCTGGCCACAAATGATTGGCTGGGCTCTTTGTTCCCCTGTCATTATTGGCCACACTTGATGATTCTCTCTCCATCCAGAATATCTCCATTCAGCATAAGAGAAGCAAAAGAGTTTGTGGAAGCATCCACAGTGTTTCATAAATCCTCTGATTGGAAATGACTTTCATAATACACACTCGTTGGTCAAAAGAAATTGCATAGACACAGCTGAGCTCATTAGAATGAGAAAATGCCGACCTAATGCAACTGGAACAAATATGGAAATAAGTAGGTTCATAGTCCTTGCACTCCAGGTACTTACAAGAATTTCATTCATTATGAATTCCAAATACAGTATCAAATGCAATTACTGAACTACACTTATTAACTTTTACTCTGTGCTAATCTAGATGGCCTTGATTTATGAAAATATATACAGATGGTGCCTGATTTCCAATGGTTTGACTTGAGATCTTTCAACTCCATGATGGTAGGAAAGCAATATGCATTCATTAGAAAGCATGCCTTGAAATTTGATCTTTTCTTAGACAAGTAATATATAGTACTACACTCTCTTGGAATGCTAGATCAGAGCTGTGCAATCACAAGGAGAAACCACTGATACACTGTAATGCACTCTGTCGCTGAGCCAACCTTATCAAAAGCATTTTGAACTTACAGGATTTTCAGTTTGGAGGTTTATAGGCATGTGACCACATTATAAGTTGGTAGGCATATGCACAAAGCTTGACTGCTCAACCAATAGAGATGACACTTTGCTGAACCTTTT